AGGAGAAAAGTAACTGCTACAGCTGAACCCATGACAACCAGTCAATGACCAAATCTTCAAGAAGCCACACCTTACAGACAGGCTTCTGAAAACATCTGGGATTTCAGTCAGGTTTGTTTTATGATATAAAGACATCTTCAGTGGAAAGAGCTGCATGTCTCGCACTTTCTTTGTAAGTGATAAAGTGCTACAAATCTGTATTACATCCTGAAAGTATGTTCTTCCTATTAAGTGGATACCACTGCCTTCCAAAAAAAGAAATTTCTTGATTTTGTCAACTCGAAACATCAGGTGGAATCCTCATCTTGAAGACAGGAGTAAATACTTTTGTTCAGCAGACATTTTTCCGGAGAGAAGAATCACCACCTAAGTTTCTGCTAATATTAAATAACTGATCAACCAGCTATGGCAGTTACAAGCACTTGCAGAAAAGAGGAAGATATTGTACCATCACCCTGTTACTGTTTCAGCCCTTGTCAACAGTGGTGAGGAGATCTGGCAGTGTTTGGGATGCTCTGCCCGCCCTCTCTAAATATAGCTCACATGCTGCCTATCTGCTGATCAAAATAAAATAACCTTCAGCCAACAAAGAGTAACAATGAAACGCATATAGGAAGAAGCAATAGAAACCATATGATGTGTCTTAATATTTTTAATATATATATTTTCGGTGTGCATTAAACGTTCTGTAGATTCCTGTCTTCCTTACCTGTCAAAATAAAAGTACCACTGATCAAACCACATCCATGTCAGCTAAATACTAGCTGTGTCAGTAAACTTTCATGATAAGATTAGAAGTCAATCCATACTGGATAAATAAACAAAGGAATTTACCTCTCTTTTTCTAGCTCTTCTAAATAACCAGTGCTTTCTCTGCTTCCATTCATAAATCCTCTTCTTGGAAACGATCCCATGGGAACAGGACTGCACTCTCCTGAGCGGCTTGACACAGACCCTTCCCGGCTCCCAAATGAACGCAGAGACACCTTTGGCCGTAACTTCACTCCAGGGAAGTTGGTACTTTCCAAGTTCAGTTCTGGATAATACAGAGCTAATGTTCAGCAGCGTAAATTTGAAAGATCATTGCTACCTTTATTTCTTATTTCCTAAAGAAATACATGATTTTTTGATGCAAACATTTTGCATGCATATCCAGAGAACATAAAGTGAACAAAACCAATCTTGATGGTACACGTTTGAGCAGATGACCAAACTGCAATCTTGACAATCAGAAGAGTATCTCCATGCAAGTCTGCCTGCCTCTTGCCCAGAGGACCTATGGAATGGACAGAGTTTCGCACAAATGTATGAATTGCTCCTCTGGCCCACTTCCTAATAGTTTCTTTCTTGGAGATCCCGCAGATGTTTCACTGCCATGTAAACGATGACAAGGTCGTTCACCACAGGGCCCTTAAATATAAACATCTCCTGTGATACTTCCAGTTCAGTAGTAGGGATAATGGATGCATACAGGGAGCTAGTGGTCTGGGCTTGCTCTGCACATCCCATGTAATGTCATGATGCACATTCAGCATCTGGTCTAGGGAAGGGGGCTTCAATTTACAGCATGACAGATACAATTCCAGTAACATGACATGGAGAGGGCAAGGCATGCCAAGAAGTTTAGAAAATTGGTGAAACTAATCCATTAACTTAAACTTTTTTTTTTCCTGAAGAACTGTATGAAATGTAAGTTCTATCAAAAGCAATTAATATGAAGCTCTAGGTTAACGGTAGCAAAAGCGTAAAAGCAGCACAGGAACACTTTTTTTTGGAGAGTTTGTCTGAAAATGCCTGGCGAAAAGAGCACTGAGACTATGCCTAACCATCAACATCAGCACTGGAAAGAAGATGCAGCTCAGTTAGAAAACTTTATGCCAAAGAAAAAGTAACAGGAACAAATTACCTACTTAAAACATAATTCTAGATTTACCTTTAAGTCGTTCCAGTAAATCAATTTGTCCAGAAGATGCCATTGCCTCATCTTCAATAGTTCCTTGTAGCTGTTTCAGCACCTCCTGTAAGAAACTAAGCTTAATTAAGAATCCCTTACAATAATAAACCACAAGGTAAATACACCTTATCCTGTCCTCAAGTGCACATTTATGTAACGGCTATTTGGATATTGATGTAAACTGTATTTCATGTGAGCAGTGATCAAGTGTCATAATTTTGATTGGCATCATATGTTCTATATGTTCTATTTCCCCAAGCACTGTCACGCCATAAAGTATATCCTGAATAACTCATCCTGTTAGTCCAGTCTATCGTTTTATTTAGAAGTTGTTCTCAAAGTGAACTCCAGTTATTTCAAATTTACAAATGGAGAAACGGACGCACGGCATAATTAGTTAAATTTCTCCACCTATGTACCTAAAATAAGTCTTGTAAAAATAAAATTTGGATACATAACTAAAAGCTACAAAAGCATCTTCAAATCCACACTTTTTAAACCTCAAAGATACCAGAGCAAAAGTAATCCTCAGGATTTATTTTCTGCAAGGCCCCAGCACCAGTGTAAATAAGCAAAGTCATTGTTCTTACTACTACTGCTACCACCACCGCACCTATGAGGAAAAGACTTAGGATTCTTTATGGTGTCTCATTATCTGGTTTATTACTACTAGTACTACAAGAAAGAGATTTATGAGTCCTTCCTGCAGCTGAAGCTTCAAAGCCAAGAATATTGTTGTGTGCTATTCACACTATGTATGATAAATGACATAGTTGAAGGAACATACTTATAATGCACAAAAAGATTCACAGTAAACAATGACTACTACAGTAAAAGGGGCCTGCAAGCCCCCAGGTCCCTAAGGCTCAGTGGCCTAAATCCAGGTAGAAAACTAAATGCAAGTTAGTGAATGCCTTTTCTGTGTTACAATGGCAGATACTTTAAATAGCAAAAACAAATTGAAAAGACTGGCCACAAGGCAAAAAGCCCTTACTGGAATTCAAAATACCATGTTTCATACTGTAGCATAGAAAATATTATTAGCAGCAGCAATAGTCAGGAAATTAAAACAATTATGAATAGTGAAAGGTACTCCCACACTTTTCATGCATAGACTCTACGCCCAGAATTGTACTTCTGGTCAGACCTGAAAACTAATGAATTTTAGACAATTTCAAAAGACCTCCCTATCACTGTTTTGCTCTTCTAAGAACCTAGCAGACCTGTTAACATTAATAGTTCTTGCAACTTGAACAGAAGGTACCTTTTAAATGCATTTTATTTTAAATGCATTTTATTTTAAATGCATTTTGCTCTTTCCAAAGAAGACAAAATGGCATCTACAAGAAGTCAAGATAACAGACACACTACTGACCTTTTCTA